CCTGTGCAGGGAACAGTCCCCTCCTTGTTACCACTGCCCCCCCCCCCAGCGTCCACCCCGGCGCCTCTGACCCCACGCGGGCGGAGAGAGGGAGTCCCCGGCGCCCCAGCATGGAGGGAGCAGAGATCAGCAAGTGCGGGTGCCTAGTACCGTCGCTCACCTTGCCCCTTGCGGGTTTTTCCAGGAATATCCCATACTGCGACTGCAGCCAAGAGACGATGGGCTATGCACCCACGCACAGCTCGCCGCAATCTTTCCCGTATATGAACCTTAGGTAAGAAAGTTAACGCTGGGCTCAGTGGGACGAGGGGTCGGGGGCACAGCTCTAGAAAACAATATTTTACGCTGGGCAGAACAGCCTGGGACTCTTCCCGGCACCTGGATCTCTCCCCATTGGGGTGTCAAGCAAATCGTGCCGCATTGCCGCATGTCTTAGAGCAGCCTCTGAAGCATGGACTGGGGAAGGCAAGCCCCTAACCCCGCCCCCAGCCCAGCCCCTTTTACAGAGGCCCGCCCACACCAGGGGGAAGCGGGCCAGTGGGCCCCCCCCGCTGCCCGCCCCCCAGCACAGGGAGGACAGGCGCACAGCCCCACCCCAGAGCACAGGGAGGCGGGCATTGGGGGCAGCAAGACTCCACCCCCTGGTACACCTACAGTAAGCATTCTGGGGGGGCAGCGTGTGGGCGGGGCCAGGCTGGCCGTTTGGGAAGGCAGCGCCTCCCCCTGCCTCGCACGCCCGCCTCCCCTGCTTCCCGGACTATAGAGAGATGAGGTGACGTACCAAAGGTCACAAGTGGCAGAGTTTGCGGGGGGAGGGGGGTAGTTGATTTTTAAGGGACAGCCCCATGTTGCTGTTCGTGCTACAAAACAAGGGGTAGGTAGGGACCAAGCAAAGGATGGGGGTGTCCTCTCCCCCCCCTGGGGACCCCAGCTGAGGGCAAGAGCAGCTGTTGGGAAGTGGTTGCAAGAAGCCAGGGTGATGTAAAGAAACCCTGCAGGAGCTTGGGGTGGTGACTTGGGCTCAGTCCCAGCAGAGAGATCCCCCAGGACTACGAACGCATCGAAGAGTATTTAAAGGAGGCCGAAAAACGATTGCCTCCATGAGTTTGTTCCCTTTCCGTTAGACTTTCCTACGCACACAGGACACGTACGGTACTTCTCCTGTGCCTCAGTGCCCCAGCTGCAGGACACGGGAGACCCCTTTCCCCCAGCTATGGACTCCAACATGGGCAGTGGGTGAAGCCCCGCCCCTTCCACCCAAAGCCACACCCCTTCCCTGAGACCATGCCCCTCCCAACCCCAGCTGAGGTCCCGAGCTGCCGTGCGGCGCAGCCCCAGCCTTACCCGGCCACTGGGGAGCTGGGCTACCCTGCGGCATGGCCCCAGCCTTCCCCAGCCGCCGACCTGCTGCACGGTGCAGCCTCAGCCCCTCCTGGGCAGTGTAGGCAGTTTTGGGAAGGTAATGCCTTCCCTTGCCTGCATTACCTGCCGCCCATGCTGGGCAGGCTTGTGAGCGGGTATTTACGAGTTAATGTCTCTGGGTATGTCTACACTACAAAGTTAGTTCGAACTAACGGACGTTAGTTCGAACTAACTTTAATAGGTGCTACACTAGCGCTCCGCTAGTTCGAATTTGAATCGAACTAGCGGAGCGCTTAGTTCGAACTAGGTAAACCTCATTTTACGAGGACTAACGCCTAGTTCGAACTAGCTAGTTCGAACTAGGCGTTAGTCCTCGTAAAATGAGGTTTACCTAGTTCGAACTAAGCGCTCCACTAGTTCGATTCAAATTCGAACTAGCGGAGCGCTAGTGTAGCACCTATTAAAGTTACGTTAGTTCGAACTAACTTTGTAGTGTAGACATACCCAGAGAGAGTAAGAGATGCAGCAGTAGGAGGAGAAAAGAAACACAGAGTAAAAAGCGGGAGGGGGAGAAGAGAAAGAGAGAGAGGCAGAGAGAGAGGCAGGAGATGGATGAGAGCTGAGAGAGAGAGAGAGAGAGCGAGGCAGTAGGAGGAGAAGAGAGGCCATTTGTGCTGCTTGTTCCCACGCAGCGGCCTGACTGAGTGGAGCAGAAATCAGCCTAGCACCACGGAGGGAGGAGAAGGGGGGTGGGGAGGTGATATACACACCCAGGGGGCAGGGCCTGGACGAGCGTGCATCTCCAATGGAGACAGAGGAGAGCGGAGAGAGAGTGAGAGGCAGTAGGAGGAGGAGGAGAAGAGAAAGAGAAAGTGAGAGGCAGGAGGGGGAGAAGAAAAAGATAGATGGAGAGAGAGGCAGAAGGCAGAGGAGAGCTGAGAGAGAGAGGGGGAGGCAGTAGGAGGAAGAGAAAGAGAGACGAAGCGAGATGGAGCGAGAGACCAGAGGCTCCGGAGAGAAGACCGACGTGGAGGTGAGACCTGAAAATCCTGTCTTATGACCAGCTAATTGGTTAGTATGTTTATAAAGGGCATTTAACAATTGAAAGTTATTATTATTAGTTTGCTAGACCCAGAGATTTTTTCTTTTCTTTTTGAACTTGGTACAAAAATATGGAGTGCTTCTTTTTTAGCTCTTCATGATTTTAGCAAACTATTATCTCCAAAATGGTGACATATTTTTCTTTCTGTAAATGCATAATTCACAGGACTAGTTGTAAATACACCAGATTGTAATGTCCCAAAGATATTGTGCAATATTCTAAATGATTTTAATGGTTATGACATTGTCAAGGCTTTTCCCCAAGAAGTTGTCAGTATCAGATTTTGAAAATTTAAATGTTGAAATGTGACTAGGAACAGTTTTGGGGTAAGACATCAGAAAAGGCCATCATGCTCAGAAAGTGCTAAGAAAACCAACATCTGAAAATTAACTCTGAGGTGTTTCAACTTGGCTCCCCAAAACAGAAACACCTATAATCTATTGTAGTCCCTTATTAAAGGGGCCTCTGACTTTTATTGGCAGGATCCTTTTTGCTGCAGTCTAGCCCTAGAGACTATGAGCCCTTGGGAAAAAGGGGGAACGTACCTCTTCCAGGGCTATGCAGAAAGAGAGTTAGTTTAGGCTTCATTTTTGGAGAGAGGAGCCAAGCTGCTGGTGTAGAGCTTTTTTTAGGCCAGAAGCTGTTGTGTTGTAGCTAGAGCCTGTCACTGAGCAGCTTACTATTACTGCTTGGACTTTGATATAACAGGCTGCTTTGAGGGCTGCTGTTGATTGTCCCTGGAGGGGAGAGATCCTGGCTTTGCCTATGGTTGGGAAGAGCCTACACAGAAGGTGACTGTGAGTAACTGGGCTGTTTGGAAATGTGCTGCCTGGGACGGAGCACAAAAGACAAACTGGCTCTGGGTGCAATGAAAGCCAGGGTGATCTGCACAGGGAATCAGAGCTGCTGGCATTTGGTGGAGCCTGCTCCAGTGGCAAAGGGATTTTGCAGCTGGCTGCTCAGCTTGGACTAACACACATAGAACCTACACAGAGCTGTCTCCACTTCAGCTTCAGACCGCTTTGAACTCACAAAGCCCCGGGCGAGTATTTGAAATTCCAGCACACGGACTCACAACACCACGGAGACAGGGAGTTAAGTTTTCGTGTCACTTTAACAGGTCCCCATGTCTACATTGTCTACTGCCCAGCACCTGGGTTATCCGGTGTCCCTCTTTCAGCATGCTGTTCTCGGCAGGGTAATCTGGCTGCGTCCTCTACCTGGTGCCTCTTCTTGGCTGCCT